CGGTGAAAGAGCTCCAGAGATTCTTAGGGTTTGCCAATTACTATAGACGGTTTGTGCGTAATTTCAGCACAACCGCAGCTCCCCTGTTGGCGATGACCAGCTACAAGGGTCGTGGTCTGAAATGGACGGAGCGGGCAGTGCGGGCTTTTGAGACATTGAAACAACGCTTTACCACCGCTCCCATTTTATGTCAGCCGGATCCTACCTTGCCGTTTATCGTGGAGGTGGACGCCTCGGAGGTTGGAGTTGGAGCCGTGCTATCCCAGCGCCAAGGTGAGCCGCCCAAATCACGACACTGTGCTTTTTTTTCTAAGAAGCTGAATCCGGCCGAGCAGAACTACGACGTGGGAAATCGTGAATTACTGGCGGTGAAGTTAGCACTGGAGGAGTGGAGACATTGGCTGGAGGGAGCAGATAATCCGTTCCAAGTGCTCACGGACCACCGCAATCTGGAGTATCTTCACAGTGCTAAACGACTGAACTCCCGACAGGCAAGGTGGTATTAATTCTTCAACCGTTTCCAATTCACTGTCTCTTATATTCCCGGGTCCAAGAATTGTAAGGCGGACGCGCTTTCCCGACGGTTCGAGCGCGCGGAAAGACCCGTGGAACCAGAACCTATCCTCCCCATGAGTTGCCGTGCTGGTCCTGTGAGGTGGGCTATCGATGACACTATTCAGGAGAGCCTCCAAGCGGAACCAGCCCCTCCAGAAACCCCGGTGTCGAAGGTGTTTGTATCAGCTCCGCTTCGACCTCAACTGATGGAATGGTGCCACACGTCGCTAGGATCTGGTCATCCCGGAATCACTCGAACTACACGACTCATCAGTCGAAAATACTGGTGGGATTCCCTCACAGATGACGTCAGAGACTACGTATTATCCTGCCCAGTATGTGCTCAGTCCAAGGCGCCTCGAGCACTACCGGAGGGTAAGCTGATGCCATTGCCAACTCCTCAATGACCCTGGTCGCACATTGCTATGGACTTTGTTACCGATCTACCAGAATCAGAGGGCCATACTGTAATTCTCGTGGTCATCGATCGATTCTCCAAGATGTGCCGGTTAGTACCCATGACCCGTTTACCTAACGCCACTCAGATGGCTGAGACTATGTTTAACCAGGTGTTCCGGCAGTTTGGTGTTCCGGAGGATATTGTTTCCGACCGGGGACCCCAGTTCGTATCCCGGGTATGGAAGGCCTTCTGCGAACGCTTGGGCATCTCGGTGAGCCTCACCTCCGGATATCATCCCCAGGCCAATGGGCAGACAGAACGGCTCAACCAGGAAATTGGGAAGTTTCTACGGCAACAATGTTCGCGGCAGCCGCAAGAGTGGAGCCGATTCCTTCCTTGGGTAGAGTATGCTCAGAACTCACTCATTCACACCTCCCTACGTTTAACGCCCTTCCAGTATGTTCTAGGGTATCAACCACCCCTGTTCCCGTGGGATACCGCACCCGGGATGGTACCGGCGGTGGACGAGTGGTTCCAACATCTCAGTCAGGCCTCACAACAGCAAAAGACCTACGCCGACCGACGCCGGAGACCTACTCCCACTTATCAACCCGGGCAACGAGTGTGGCTGTCTACCCGAGACCTACGGTTCCGACGGAGCTGCAAGAAGCTCCAACCCAGGTACATCGGGCCTTTCAAGGTACTGAGACGTATTAACCCTGTCACCTACCGTCTGTTACTCCCTCGACACTACAGGATAAACCCTACGTTCCACGTCTCCCTGTTGGAAGCTGTCCACTATAGCCCGATGTTCCCCCCAATTGCTCAACAACCTACTACACCACCTTTGGAGGATGAACAGGACACCACCTATACAGTCCACGAGATACTGGAGTCAAGACGGAGACGAGGGGGCATCGAATAACTTGTGGACTGGGAGGGATATGGACCTGAGGAACGGTCCTGGATCCCTGCTAAGGACATACTGGACCCCGCTCTCAAGGCCACCTTCCACGCTGAACACCCAGATCATCCAGGACCCCGACCCAGAGGAAGACCACCCGGTAGAGGTAGAAGGCCGTCAGGAGCCGGCCCTGGGGAGGGGGATACTGTAAGGGATCGGGGGTTGGCTGGGTCTAGACAGAGTCTGACACTTCCCCGATCTACAGAGAGGGGGAGTCATCAGACTCGATCTGGTTCACCTGAGTTCTGAGCACACCTGTCAGTAATTAGTGTAGGATATAAGGTGTGCTCAGAAGCTCAGTCAGTGCGAGGTATTGTTCCATTGTGACTTGCTAAACGTTTTGTTCTGAGAGAGAGAGAGAGTTTGTTGTTTTTGATTACCCGTGTATCCGACCTGTGCCTTGTTGTTTGACTCCCCGAATTGCTTAATCCTCTGCTTGTTTATCCCAGTGATTACCGTACTCTGACCCTGTGCCTGTGCCCTCGACTACGACTACGCCCGCTCCCTTGGTACCTCTGCCTGTCTCTGCCTGGCCCGGTTTTGACCACAGCCCCCCCGACTACGATTAAGCTATTCCCTTGTCTGTACTCTAATAAAGCATCGCTATTCTGCGATTGGATCTTACCACTCTGTCCGAGTATTCATTACAAATGGTTGTTCCAGTTTAAATTGTGTAGGTAGTCTTCTTATCAACCCTGACAGTCATTCTGAATGCAGGTTGCGGGTGAATAAAATTTCAAATTCCTAACTCTGGCTGGATTCCAAAAGGAAATAAACATCACTTTGCAAGCCAGCATAATGTGACTTGCAGGCCTGATGTGGCCTGTAAACTAGGAGTTTCCTAACACCACTGTGATAGGGTAAAACTAGGCCATCAAAGTAAGGCCATATGATATACAGCATGTTTTGTCATAGAGTTTTATGATAGCGTTCACCAAGGTACTCACGTGGTGAAAGCCACAGGCCATTTAAAGGAAATAATTAAATAAGCATGTCTCTGTCACTATCAAATACAGTCATGGGTGGTAACTACAATTCCCTCGAAAATAAAAGGCACCCTGGGAAATATGCAAATTAAGCTTTACACCATACAGTGTTAAAACAACTCCAAAGAATGATTTACTGTAACACTACAGGTGTTAATTTCTTACACTGAGAAAGTGTAACAGATTCAGCTCTAAGCAAAGTGAGTCGAGTTTACTCTAAATCAAGTTTTATGTTTTACACTGTAGGTGTTGCGTATTACTCTACAGTAGAGCTATGCAAACACTAGAGTCAAGTTCATTTGAACACTTTGAGAGCTGAATGGGGAACACTGCAACAGAGTTAAATCTTTAACACTTTCAAATGTGTTATTTTAACACCAGTTCAGTGGGACTCATACTGTATGTTCACTGAAAATAGTGTACATTTAACACTTTCAGAGTTAATGGTACACCATTGATTTAGCTGTGTGGGGATGACCAGGGATGTTCTCTTGATAAGTGTGTGAATTTGACAATTTTCCTGTCCTGCTAAGCATTCAAAATGTAACAAGTATTTTTGGGTGTCAGGGAAAATGAATGGAGTAAAAAGTACAGTACCAGTCAAAAGTTTGGGCACACCTACTCATTCCAGGGTTTTTCTTTATTTTTACTATTTTCTACATTGTAGAATAATAGTGAAGACATCAAAACTATGATATAACACATATAGAATCATGTAGTAATAAAACAAGTGTTAAACAAATATGTATTTGAGATTCTTCAAAGTAGCCACCCTTTGCCTTGATGACAGCTTTGCACACTCTTGGCATTCTCTCAACCAGCTTCACCTGGAATGCTTTTCCAACAGTCTTGAAGGAGCAGGTGTGTTTTGGGTCATTGTCCTGTTGAAAAACATATGATAGTTCCACTAAGGGCAAACCAGTTACAGTCATCTATACTCTAGATAACATGAAAACAGCCTAATAACCAGCTCTGCTAGGGCGAGTAAAATGGTCAGAGTGAGTTGTAAACTCATTTGTGTCTGGAAGCAGCTAGCAAGCTAGCCTACTTTAGCCAGTTAGCTTGGGTGCTTGACTGCCGTTGTGGGGTCAGAACGCTCGGATCAACCCTACTCATAGGCCAGAGCATCCAGTGTGAGCTCTGAATTTACGAACAGACAATCGGACAACGTTCTGAATTTATGAACGCCCATAGCGCACTCTGAGCGCACTCTGGCACTCCAGAGTGAATATATGAACACACCCCAGGTGTTGTTCATAAAAAAGTTGAAAGCTATCCCTTATTGATGTCACCGGTTAAATCCACTTCAATCATTGTAGATGAAGTGAAGGAGACAGGTTAATTAAGGATTTTTAAGCCTTGAATTGAGACATGCATTTTGTATGTGTGCCATTCAGAGGGTGAATGGGCAAGACAAAATATTTAAGTGACTTTGAATGGGGTATGGTAGTAGGTGCCAGGCGCACCGGTTTGAGTGTGTCAAGAACTGCAACACTGCTGTGACAGTTTCCCGTGTGTATTAAGAATGGTTCACCACCCAAAGGACTGTGGGAAGCATTGGCGTCAACATGGGCCAGCGTCCCTGTGGAATGCTTTTGACACCTTGTGGAGTCCATGCCCCGACGAATTGAGGCTGTTCTGAGGGAAAAGGGGGTGCGTTTTGTACACTCAGTGTATAGTCGGGCGGTTGCCCGCACACCACTAACACACACACGCAGGTTGTCTGAAGTCACTGTAGGTTCACTGTCTGTGTGACCCACCCACCCTGTGCCCCTCTCATTATCCTCATCCTTAGGAGGTGGTAGTGAAATTATTGTTTCAGTTAATGAGTGTTTGGGTTAAAGTGTATCTTTCTTTCCTGAGTGTTTTCTCAGAGGCAGAGCACCCAAGGTATTATATCCCTAGATTTGTGTGATATGGATGATTATAAGTCAGGATAGCCACTACATGAAACGGTGTAATGTGTCACCATCAATGTGACCATGGTGAGTTTGAACAATACCTCCTGTACTGTGTAGTGTACTACCTCTTTAAAAATTGCAGTGACGTCAGATATTTTTGACTGGGAGCCAGCCTGGAGGACGAGTACTGGTAGGTAACGGATCCACCAAGGGAGAAGGATGACAATAATAATGTCCCCGGCTGGTTCCCGCGGCGCCCAAGTCTTCATATCATGATAACCACTGGGCCTGTCGCCCATATGATGCCAATGGCGGCTCGGAGTGGGTGCTGGATTGCGTGGTGCCAGGCTATCCTTTTCGGTGTGTCCGGGCTGGTGATACTGGCTGAAAGAAGCGCGCGTAAGTGGATACCAAATGCTTCAGTAGCCTAGCCACTGTAGTATTCTGCAAATAAACATTCACATCACGTTCAGTCAAGCCTTGGTTGGACTGCGTTAGTGATCTTCAATTAGTTATATGCAATGGTAGAGTGGTTTTTCGGGGAAATGTTGTATTATGGACTTCATGGAATGCGTATTTAGCTAGCTACACGTCTATGGCTTGCTAATTCAGGGACAGTTCAGCATCACTTGGCTAACGTTAGCCGAGTAACGTTAGCCACATTAGCTAGCTACTGTAAATGGATACGTTAATGTGTCCCGGTAACATTGCACAAATTACCACCAACCTTTCTGTTTAATTCTCAATAAGTGAATAGCCAGTTTCATTGTGGTCTTTTAAGTTGAAGGCTAGCCTTTATTTCTACCGAGTGTGCCTTCTCAAAATGTACGATAAAGTCATGCGGTCTGTGACAGCTTTTGACTAGTTTAGAAAACCCAATTTAGCTACTGTACTGGCCTGGCCAATCATCTCTGCTAACTACATTCAATCAACATGCATGTCGCAATTAATACCGATAATAAGAAAAATCGATTTGGTGATGTTTGATTTTGTATGCATATCACACGCGGGTCAGTCGAAGGGCACCTAGGAGATTAGGTCTCCTCCGCACCGTTATTCGGGAAACGGGCGCGGTACATCCTTGTGTGAATAGCCCTGAGTAAGCAGAGCAATGACAAGGTCGTCACTAGTTACCACAGCCACAAAGTCATAAAGCCCTCCTATTTGATTTTAACCCTGACCTTGACCCTAACCTTAATCACACTGCTAACCCTAAACTGAAATTAAGACGAAAAAGCTAATTTTTGTTTTCATACATTTTTACGATATAGAAAATGTTGACTTTGTGGTTGTGAAAACCCAATGGAGAAGGGCAGTAGCAAAAGACAAAGAGCCCCAGCAAAGGCGACTGACTGCGCGCGAAGCAACTTTGGCCTCCACACAGATGGCTTTCACCGGATAAAACTACTGTGCCTTCAATATATAACTCATATTTATTTTGGGGGGAATTTAATGTAATATCTTATGTTCTTGTTTATAACCGTTCTGTACTTTGTCATGTATTTGTACGTTTTATGTTGACCCCAGGAAGAGGACCTGCTGCATGTGTAGTAGCTAATGGGGATCCAAATAAACTAAGCCTGAGAGCCTCTCTAGGGCCCCACCAACAGAGACAGCCAGTCCAGATGGATAAGACAGAAATAATCATTATCTAGTTATCAAGAGCTTGCCAAGTTTGTGGTCAAGAGGCATACACATGAATAGCATTTAATTAATGATAATCAATACATTTGATATGGCTTTGACATGTCTGTTTTTAGTGTGAAATAAAGGCGAGGGGATTGTTTCCAAATATACCATTCATTCATTTATCCAGCCCCCACTCACTAAGTCACTCACCTCACTCACTCGTTTATTTATGTGGCTGGCCTTGTGTGCAATGGAATGTATCACCATTCACTCCCACCATAGACTGTACAGAGTGTAACCAAAAGTAAGTCGGAGACACCTTCAAATATGAAACAATGGTTTTAGAACATGAGGCGCCATAGAATGAAACCAAAAATATTCTGTATGTAGGTAAATAGACCTTGTAGTACACGGATTACATTGATATACATTTATTATTATTATTATTATTATTATATAACATACCTATTTCTTCCCTCTTTGTGTGTGTGATCTATAAAGAGATCTACTGTGTAGGATTCTACCTATGGAATGAGGAAACGCAGTGGGCGGGGATGACCCTCACCTTCCTGTTGCCGGGGATACTGGTCCAGGTGTTGAGTCTCAGGTGGTACCGTGACGACGGGGAAGACCACTATTGGTTCCTGACCCTCACACATGTGTTGCAACTGGGCATCTTCCAAAGGTGAGCCCACCTGAACAATGGCTACACCTGGGTGTGTTCGATAGGCACAAAATGTAAGAAAACTGATTGAAATGTGGAGGTACTAGCTGAACTTGACCAATTAGAAATGGCCGCTTTTGTTTTCTGTGGCAAAATGTTTTAGAACGTTTTGTTAGTGTGCCTTAATGAACAGGACCGTGACAACAGAGCAATCTGCCTCAGAATTAGAAATTGACGGAGCAGTTGCTTTGAGTAATTCAAAGTAACAATCATTTTGAAACCAGCCACTGATTTACTTAGTTGGATTAATAAGATCTGCTATCCTATTTGCCCTCTAGTAGTATACCGGAAGTGATGGGCGTTAGAGGTTACCTTGAGAGGTTTACATCATTAAACCTAAAATCTTTGCATTTTCTGTGTAGAGAATCTTTAGAATTCTACATATCTAAATTGCAGACACACAATTCCACGAACACATATCATCATACACATCCACCATACAAAACCAACTACCTTCTAGCTCTGCCCCCATTGCACCAGCTCTATCTTAGCCATTGGTCTTTGTCTCCTCCTTCTGGCAGGTTGTGGGACTGCATGATGTCCGTATGGGACATGCAGGGTACTGCGGGGGAGCTCGGGGCGGCTGTGATGCAGCAGGCCGATGTGTCCGCCCTCCGCCTGTTGGAGGCCCTGGTACTCACCCTCCCTCAGACCCTGCTGCAGACCTACATCTTAGCTGTCACTGACGTGGAACTCGACTCCCCGGGTAAGACATCACTGTACCCAGGTGATGCTTAATTTAATTAATTACGAAGAAATAAACATGTAGCCTGAATCATATGTAATTAATTACTATGTAATAATTAAAATGTTACCATCTCTTAGTAGGCCGGTATTCATAGTAGGAGTGCTAATCTAGGATCAGGTCCCATCCATGTGATCTTGTTAATTATGATCCACAAGTTTGTAGTTTATACTTGGGCTCCCGAGTGGCGCAGTGGTCTAAGGCACTGCATCTCAGTGCTTGAGGCATCACTACAGACCCCCTGGTTCGATTCCAGGCTGTATCACAACCGGCCGTGATTGGGAGTCAAATAGGGCGGGGCACAATTGGCCAAGCGTCGTCCGGGTTTGGCCGGTGAAGGCCGTCATTGTAAATTTATTTTTATTTATTTAACCTTTATTTAACCAGGTAAGCCAGTTGAGAACAAGTTCTCATTTACAACTGCGACCTGGCCAAGATAAAGCAAAGCAGTTCGATAAAAACAACAACACAGAGTAACATATGGGGTAAAACAAACATAAAGTCAAAAATACAACAGAAAATATATATACAGTGTGTGCAAATGTAGCAAGTTATGGAGGTAAGGCAATAAATAGGCCATAGTGCAAAATAATTACAATTAGTATTAACACTGGAATGATAGATGTGCAAAAGATGATGTGCAAATAGAGATACTGGGGTGCAAATGAGCAAAAATAAATAACAATATGGGGATGAGGTAGTTGGGTGGGCTAATTTCAGATGGGCTGTGTACAGGTGCAGTGATCGGTAAGGTGCTCTGACAACTGATGCTTAAAGTTAGTGAGGGAGATAAGAGTCTCCAGCTTCAGAGATTTTTGTAGTTTGTTCCAGTCATTGGCAGCAGAGAACTGGAAGGAATGGCGGCCAAAGGAGGTGTTGGCTTTGGGGATGACCAATGAGATATACCTGCTGGAGCGCATACTACGGGTGGGTGTTGCTATGGTGACCAATGAGCTAAGATAAGGCGGGGATTTGCCTAGCAGTGATTTATAGATGGCCTGGAGCCAGTGGGTTTGGCGACGAATATGTAGTGAGGACCAGCCAACAAGAGCGTACAGGTCACAGTGGTGGGTAGTATATGGGGCTTTAGTGACAAAACGGATGGCACTGTGATAGACTACATCCAATTTGCTGAGTAGAGTGTTGGAGGCTATTTTGTAAATGACATCGCCGAAGTCAAGGATCGGTAGGATAGTCAGTTTTACGAGGGCATGTTTGGCAGCATGAGTGAAGGAGGCTTTGTTGCGAAATAGGAAGCTGATTCTAGATTTAACTTTGGATTGGAGATGCTTAATGTGAGTCTGGAAGGAGAGTTTACAGTCTAACCAGACACCTAGGTATTTGTAGTTGTCCACATACTCTAGGTCAGACCCGTCAAGAGTAGTGATTCTAGTCGGGTGGGCGGGTGCCAGCAGTGTTCGATTGAAGAGCATGCATTTAGTTTTACTTGTGTTTAAGAGCAGTCGGAGGCTACGGAAGGAGTGTTGTATGGCATTGAAGCTCGTTTGGAGGTTTGTTAACACAGTGTCCAATGAAGGGCCAGATTTATACAAAATGGTGTCGTCTGCGTAGAGGTGGTTCTGAGAATCACCAGCAGCAAGAGCGACATCATTGATAAACACAGAGAAAAGAGTCGGCCCAAGAATTAAACCCTGTGGCACCCCCATAGAGACTGCCATAGGTCCAGACAACAGGCCCTCCGATTTGACACATTGAACTCTATCTAAGAAGTAGTTGGTGAACCAGGCGAAGCAGTCATTTGAGAAACCAAGGCTATTTAGTCTGCCAATAAGAATGCGGTGGTTGACAGAGTCAAAAGCCCTAGCCAGGACGATGAAGACGGCTGCACAGTACTGTCTATTATCGATCGTGGTTATAATATCGTTTAGGACCTTGAGCGTGGCTGAGGTGCACCCATGACCAGCTCGGAAACCGGATTGCATAGCGGAGAAGGTACGGTGTGATTCAAAATGGTCGGTGATCTGTTTGTTAACTTGGCTTTCTAAAACTTTCGAAAGGCAGGGCAGGATGGATATAGGTCTGTAACAGTTTGGATCTAGAGTGTCACCCCCTTTGAAGAGGGGGATGACCGTGGCAGCTTTCCAATCTCTGGGGATCTCAGACATTACGAAAGAGAGGTTGAACAGGCTAGTAATAGGGGTTGCGACAATTTCGGCGGCTAATTTTAGAAAGAATGGGTCCAGATTGTCTAGCCCAGGTGATTTGTAGGGGTCCAGATTTTGCAGCTCTTTCAGAACATCAGCTATCTGAATTTGTGTGAAGGAGAAGCGGGGGAGGCATGGGCAAGTTGCAGCGGAGGGTGCAGAGCTGGTGACCTGGGTAGTGGTAGCCAGGTGGAAAGCATGGCCAGCCGTAGCAAAATGCTTGTTGAAATTCTCGATTATTGTAGATTTATCGGTGGTGATAGTGTTTCTTAGCCTCAGTGCAGTGGGCAGCTGGGAGGAGGTGCTCTTATTCTCCATGGACTTTACAGTGTCCCAAAACTTTTTGGAGTTAGTGCTACAGGATGCACATTTTTGTTTGAAAAAGCTAGCCTTTGCTTTCCTAACTGCTTGTGTATATTGGTTCCTAACTTCCCTGAAAAGTTGCATATTGCGGGGGCTATTCGATGCTAATGCAATACGCCACAGAATGTTTTTGTGCTGGTCAAGGTCAGTCAAGTCTGAGGAGAACCAGGGGCTATATCTGTTCTTAGTTTTGAATTTTTTGAATGGGGTATGCTTATTTAAGATTGAGAGGAAAGCACTTTTAAAGAACAACCAGGCATCCTCTACTGACGGAATGAGATCGATATCCATCCAGGATACCTGGGCCAGGTCAATTAGGAAGGCCTGCTCGCTAAAGTGTTTTAGGGAGCGTTTGAGGGGTGGTTGTTTGACCGCGGACCCATTACGGACGCAGGCAATAAGGCAGTGATCGCTGAGATCCTGGTTGAAGACAGCGGAGGTGTATTTAGAGGGTAAGTTAGTCAGGATGATATCTATAAGGGTGCCCATGTTAACGGATTTAGGGTTGTACCTGGAAGGTTCCTTGATAATTTGTGTGAGATTGAGGGCATCTAGTTTAGATTGTAGGACGGCTGGGGTGTTAAGCATATCCCAGTTTAGGTCACCAAGCAGTACGAACTCTGAGGATAGATGGGGGGCAATCAATTCACATATGGTGTCCAGAAAACAGCTGGGGGCTGAGGGGGGTCTGGGATAGGATAAAAGTAATCCTTCTACCCTCCCCCTACCCCACCAAAATTTTTTTTTTTATAACAATAATAATAATTTGATATATTGTAAAGTGGTTGTCCCACTGGCTATCATAAGGTGAATGCACCAATTTGTAAGTCTCTCTGGATAAGAGCGTCTGTTAAATGATGAAAATGTAAAATGAAAATGTAGCAAGCGGCAACAGTGAGAGACTTATTTCTGGAAAGGTGGATTTTTAGAAGTAGGAGCTCAAACTGTTTGGGCACAGACCTGGATAGTATGATAGAGCTCTGCAGGCTATCTCTACAGTAGATTGCAACTCCACCCCCTTTGGCAGTTCTATCTAGACGGAAAATGTTGTAGTTGGGGATGGAAATTTCTGAATTTTTGGTGTTCAGAAATGTTCATTGGAATCGCAGCAAACTGTACTGTCCATCAGATCGTGCCAGCTCATCTGGGACCATAGACGTATATAATTAGGCTGGGACCCTTGTTGAGAAGCAAAATGATAGCCGGTTATAGTCGGTCACTTAGAAAATATTGGTTATTACTATACATGCCATTTTCTTAGTAAATACCTTGTCATTTTTGTACCCAAAAATGTCTGTATACTGTAAAAAATGTCTTACATTTCTTTCTCTCTCTCTCCCCCCACTCCCTTCCCCACCCTTCCACAGTAGCGGTGTGTGCGGGCCTATGCCTGCTATCGCTGTCCTGGGCGCTGGTGCTGTTCAGCCGGGCGTGCTGCCTGATCCGCCCGGGCCATCTGGCCATGCCCCCGGCCGCCCTGCTGTGCCAGCTGCTGTGGAGGGCGGGCATGCTGGGTGCCCGAGTGGCCAGCCTCATGTCCTTTGCCCGCTACTTCCACTGGTGGACCTGCGGAGTGGCAGGTGAGAGAGAGAGAGAGAGAGAGAGAGAGAGAGAGAGAGAGAGAGAGAGAGAGAGAGAGAGAGAGAGAGAGAGAGCGAGAGCGAGAGCGCAGGGCAACAGCTGGAGAAACAAGAGGGCTTTTCACACTACTGAGCAAAACCGAGCCAAGCCAAACTAAGCTGTACTGAGCTGGCACCCTCCATAGTTGCTGGAACCGTGCTGAAAAAAAGATGCAAGGTACGAGATAGGGAAGAGACCTTCAATGTTTAAAAGCTTTAAGAAGATCATACCAAGGATAATTTTTCTATTTAATTTTGAATTTTAAGAGCCCTTGGAGTATAAAAAATGTATATAACAAAGTTATTTAATAAAAAAGCACAGTTTGGTTCTGGTCGGCGTGATCGAATGAAAAAGGTACGAGATAGGGAAGAGACCTTCAATGTTTAAAAGCTTTAAGAAGATCATACCAAGGATAATTTTTCTATTTAATTTTGAATTTTAAGAGCCCTTGGAGTATAAAAAATGTATATAACAAAGTTATTTAATAAAAATATATTTTTGGCCTTACTGCTATTAGCCCATACAAATGCATTGAATAACAGATTCACTACATGGAACAACAGATAGTCCCCCCAAATAATCTAATGGGAGTTTGTTCTGAAATGTCTATCCTATATCTGAGAGATATAAGTAAGATTAGTCTCCATATACTGTATACTTCCATACATATTTTCAACTGGTACCGGCGGACCTTCAGATGTGTCTTGTGAGGCCTGTGGGCGTCCTAGAGCAAAACAACATGTACGTGTTCGTGAGAGTCTCACCTTTACACAGAGGGGTCATATTAGTGTGTAGCCCAAACTGTTTGGACGCTACAGACATATGTTGGCAGATCGGCTGTACCGACTTCAGACGAGTCCCAAGGCTCTTGTGGGGGTCGTTGAGCAAAACGGAGAACACCATTGTGTTCGTGAGAGTCTCATCTTTCCATAGCGGGGTCATAATAGTAATAATAATAATAATAATAATAATAATAATAATAATAAATAATAATAATTTTAACCCCTCCCCTTTGTCCGATAACCACACCCCTCCTCTGACATGAAAAACTGACCTGGGAACTTTATCAGTGAATATTTCTGTACATGAGAACACTGAGCCTGGGATCAAATCCTCTAACTAGAGAATATCTAGTACTTGGTTGTTACAGAAGATGAACTGTTTTATCGATACAGACCGAATGGGAGAAATTACCTCCAAGCTAACTGTTATTTAGAGGTAGTCTAGGTTGGTGACCTAGATCCTTATTGGATATCCGAATGAAGCCCACTTGTGCAGTATTTGTACAGTATACTGTTTTTCGATTGTAACACCAGTGTTCCACTAGTGTATACGCCCTTATGTAAACTAGGGAAATTGTGTTTCCATAGCTAGTGCTGACAGTAGTAGCATAATCAACAATCTCTGCATTATCAAAACAGTTGCTTTGTGAGAAGGTGTTAAAGTCCACAGTTGGCCATTGTTATGTAAATGTCAGCTGAAAAGTACCAGTGGCCTGGCTTTGGCCGCAGGTGAGAGCAGGTCCGCCGGAGCCACCCCAGTCAGACACGTGTGCCAGCCCACGTAGATAGAAACAGAAAAGACTGAGCCATATGTACAGTATTTGTTTGTCACTATTACCTAGAAGGCCATGTGTCTTTTAAAACATTGTAAGCCCTTTATAAGCCCCATAATATCCTACATTATATGCATCTTGTCTTCTATCCTTAATTTCTGTCATTCATATAGAGAGAATTCAGTTGAATCTTTTGTATTCTATACATTTAGATCTATAGTTGTTTTATACAACATTAACGGTAAGTAGCTTTACGTAAAATCTGATGGTCACACATATATAAAATGTAATTTATTGCTTCTGAGTTAAACATTTATGTTGGTATTGAGTTAAAGAGTATATTATTAGACCATAGCCTATAAGGTTTAACCTTTTTTCGTTGTGGTTCTGCACTTTTCTCTTTATCAGCGTTTGTTTATTTCCTACAATACTCCAGTGTTAGTAGTACAGCACTATGGGTAGGGTTTGTGGGTGCAACATACCCATAGAAATGTATTGTATACTGTAGAACAAATACTTTGTAAAACATATGGGTTGTCTGTCATGAGGTTTAGTGTCAACTCTATTACATTTCTATCTGCAACACTGAATGTTTCACCTCACTGAATACACCCCATGTAGTCCCGTGTAGCTCAGTTGGTAGAGCATGGCGCTTGCAACGCCAGGGTTCTGGGTTCGTTTCCCAAGGGGGACCAGTACGAAAATGTATGCACTCACTAACTGTAAGTCGCTGTGGATAAGAGCGTCTGCTAAATTACTCAAATGTAAATGTAATAATAGTTTGTAGGCCAAACCGTTCGGCCGCTACAGACAATTCTGTGAGAATACCATTTTTCAGGAAGTGTTACAAAGGCGGATGTGGTGGATTGAGACACATCCAATGCAAAAATATATCTCTAGCTTAAACTGACAGATTTTTATGGTGATTTTTTTATTAGGCTAATTCAGGTGCCTTGCAAAAGTATTCATCCCCCTTGGCGTTTTTCCTATTTTGTTGTATTACAACCTGTAATTTAAATAGATTTTTATTTGGATTTCATGGAATGGACATACACAAAATAGTCCAAATTGGTGAAGTGAAATGAAAAAAAGAACTTGTTTAAAAAAATTTGACAAAATATATAACGGAAAAGTGCATATGTATTCACCCCCTTTGCTATGAAGCCCCTAAATAAGATCTGATGCAACCAATTACCTTCAGTAGTCACAACATTAGTTAAATAAAGTCCACCTGTGCGCAATCTCAGTATATATACACCTGTTCTGAAAGGCCCCAGAAGACCAAGGAGCTCTCCAAACAGGTCAGGGACAAAGTTGTGGAGAAGTACAGAACAGAGAGGCAACAACAAATAGACCAAAGATAACCCTGAAGGAGCTGCAAAGCTCCACAGCGGAGATTGGAGTATCTGTCCATAGGACCACTTTAAGCCGTACACTCCACAGAGCTGGGCTTTACGGAAGAGTGACCAGAAAAAAGCCATTACATAAAGAAAAAATAAGCAAACACATTTGGTGTTCGCCAAAAGGCATGTGGGAGACTCCCCAAACATATGGAAGAAGGTACTCTGGTCAGATGAGACTAAAATTGAGCTTTTTGGCCATCATCGGCAGGGACTGGGAAACTGGTCAGAATTAAAGGAATGATGGATGGCGATAAATACAGAGAAATTCTTAAGGGAAACCTGTTTCAGTCTTCCAGAGATTTGAGACTGGGACGGCGGTTCACCTTCCAGCAAGACAATGACCCTAGGCATACTGCTAAAGCAACACTCGAGTGGTTTAAGGGGAAACATTTAAATGTCTTGGAATGGCCTAGTCAAAGCCCAGACCTGTGGTATGACTTAAAGATTGCTGTACACCAGCGGAACCCATACAACTTGAAGGAGCTGAAGCAGTTTTGCCTTGAAGAATGGGCAAAAATCCCAGTGGCTAGATGTGCCAAGCTTATAGAGATACCCAAAGAGACTTCCAGCTGTAATTGCTGCAAAAGGTGGCTCTACAAAGTATTGACTTTGGGGGGGGTGAATAGTTATGCATGCTCAAGTTTTCTTTTTTTTTTGTCTTATTTCTTGTTTGTTTCAAAATAAAAAAATATTTTGCATCTTCAAAGTGGTAGGCATGTTGTGTAAATCAAATGATACAAACCCCCCAAAAATCCATTTTAATTCCAGGTTGTAAGGCAACAAAATAGGAAAAATGCCAAGGGGGGTGAATACTTTCGCAAGCCACTGTACATTTCCGCCCAGGCAAAAGGGGTTAAGGCCAGGCACCACAGGCTGAAATTCCATTTTTGCATCTACCTATCAATTTTGAGATTTTGGGGTATTTTCAAAAAGTAAACAAACATTTCAAAAACCTGATGAATGTATATTTTTAGTTCAACATACTACCATCATCAACATGTTAATTCATTTTAACCACTTTAAAATGGACATACATCAATAATTTCAAAGCTCACGACATTGAATTACACAATTTCAAAGCCCATTTCATAGAGAATGTTACAAACTGGAATACATTTAGTAACTCACTTTGAAGAGATGGTGATTGGGTCTAAATAGGCTTTTGGCGTTTGGTAGTCTTAATTCAGTGTACTTGTCTTTTAACTGCCATTTCCCTGAAAGTCAGACTCTTCCCACACTATATATTTTCGGCTTCAGAAGCATCTGCATTCACCAGATTTTGTTTGGTTATCCTTAGATATATTCTCCAGACTTTCCCAAAAGAGATTATTGATATGCTGTCAATTTGTTATTTTAGATAACATTTTATTCTGGGAAAAAAAGGAGGAGAGAGAGAGAAAATGGAATGGTGTTATTATGTTGGTTTTATAACTCCTTGATCATCAAGGAACTTGGTTGTAGTAAATAATGCATCAATGCAGATTCGAGATCCTTCACAATCATCTGACAGCACAACCAATCAAAATTGTAAATTATAATAAACTAATTTGACCTACAATTGACCTCTACGTGCATTATACCGAATTTACAAAGCCTCAGGTTAAAATATAAATAAATAAATATATTATATAAAATCAATAAAACGCATCTATCTTCACACTGCAACACATGTTTTCCTTCAAAGCTCATTCCTTGGCAACCAGTGTCCACCTACATGACTATGCACAATACCTCTAATACAGAGGAGTCTGGTGGTAGGAATGGAATAAATGGAAGTCAAATGTGATTTCCATATGTTTGATGTGTTTAATACCATTCCATTGATTCCATTCCAGTCTTTACAATGAGCCCATCCTCCTATAGCTCCTCCCAACAGCCTCCTCTGCTCTAATACCTCTCTGGCCCTGCTGTATTCGCACGCACGCACGCACACACACAAACTTACTTTCTCACACACACTCTCACATACACATACTGTATTCCCACCACAGTGCCGCTCCGCTGTCTAATACACTCTCAGCTAGCTATCTATTTTTACGCTGACCTCCAGGCTTCCACTGGCTCATGGCGTCCTTCTGGCTGGTCGCCCAGCAACCCGAAATCTGCACCGGCCCCTGGCGCTGGCGCCTCTTCAACTCTGCGCTGGGATTGGTCCACGTCTTCCTCTTCCTCAACGTCAAAGACGGCCCCTCGCGCTTTCGCATGGCCGGCTTCTACGTGGTACGTACAAGAGAGACTGCAGCACCCAGCCTCACCCTACTAGAATCGGAAGTCAAATGTCTACTGTTTGCTGATGACCTGTTGCTTCTGTCCCCAACCAAGGAGGGCCTACAGCAGCACCTAGATCTTCTGCACAGATTCTGTCAGATTTGGGCCCTGACAGTAAATCTCAGTAAGACAAAAATAATGGTGTTCCAAAAAAGGTCCAGTTGCCAGGACCACAAATACAAATTCCATCTACACACCGTTGCCCTAGCGCACACCATTTTTTAAAATACATACCTCGGCCTAAACGTCAGTGCCACAGGTAACTTCAACAAAGCTGTGAACAATCTGAGAGACAAGGCAAGAAGGGCCTTCTATGCCATCAAAAGGAACATAAAATTTGACATACCAATTAGGGGATCTGGCTAAAAATGCTTGAATCAGTTATAGAACCCATTGCCCTTTATGGTTGTGATGTCTGGGGTCCACTCACCAACCAATAATTCACAAAATGGGACAAATACCAAATTGAGACTGCATGCAGAATTCTAGAAAGATATCCTCTATGTACAACATAAACACCAAATAATGCATGCAGAGCAGAATTAGGCCGATGCCCGCTAATTATCAAAATCCAGAAAAGAGACTCAATTGTACAACAATCTAAAAGGAAGGGATTCCCAAACCTTCCATAACAAAACCATCACCTACAGAGAGATGAACCTGGAGAAGAGTCCCCTAAGCAAGCTGGTCACAAACACAAACAGACCCCACAGAGCCCCAGGACAGCAACACAATTAGACCCAACCAAATCATGAGAAAACAAAACTTACTTGACACATTGGAAAGAATTAACAAAAAAACTAAGCAAACTAGAATGCTATTTGGCCCTAATTAGAGAGTACACAGTGGCAGAATACCTGACCACTGTGACTGACCCAAAATGAAGGAACGCTTTGACTATATACAGACTCAGTGAGCATAGCCTTGCTAACGAGGGAGGCAGCCGTAGGCAGACCTGGCTCTCAAGAGAAGAAAGGCTATGTGCACACTGCCTACAAAATGAGGTGGCATTCCTTTTGTTTATTATCTATTTCACTTGCTTTGGAAATGTAAACATATGTTTCCCATGCCAATACAGCCCTTTGAATTTAATTGGAGAGAGAGACAGACTGCAGCACCCGGCCTCACCCTACTAGAATCGGAAGTCAAATGTCTGTTTGCTGATGATCTGGTGCTTCTGTCCCCAACCAAGGAGGGCCTACAGCAGCACCTAGATCTTCTGCACAGACAAAAATAATGGTGTTCCAAAAAAGGTCCAGTTGCCAGGAAGAATTCAGTTGCTAGGAAGACAGAATTCAGGATAGGATAAATTTGGTTCACTGCCACTGAATTGCCCTTTGGGGATAATAGGTCTGTTGAATTGAATTCTATTCATTATGATTTTTGTGCATGTTCCGATTCAGCTCCGTTTCAATTTCCTACTTCTACGTGGTACGTATGACGAATTGGAGGACGAGGACTGCCATTCGGGGACAGTAAAGATCTGTTGAATTGAATCGAATGTGCGGCAGAATATTCTGATTGAGTTCTGTTTGAATCTCCTGCTGCTTGTTGACATTTGTTGTCTTATGCGTTCACCCCTGTCTTTGTGACGAGTTGTATGTTTTGTCTTTTTTGGGGGGCCTATTAGTTCACTCACATACTCATAATCATGTTTATATGGGCGCACACACAGCTGCAGGTGCACACACACACACCCTTTCTGTCCTTGCATTCCATTGTCCCCTGTCTCAGTCCCGTCATGACTTCTCCTGACCTCTTCTCCTATAGGCCATGCTACTGGAGAACACCACCCTACTAGTGGCAGCGTCCGACTTCCTCAGTGAGAAATCATGGGATAGCATGACCCTCCCTATCGCTGTGCTGAGCAGCTTCCTGCTTGGTCAGTCACTCTTTGGATACTCCATATTATGTAGTATTCAGTTTTAAGCCCCTGGTTACAGTGGGGGAAAAAAGTATTTAGTCAGCCACCAATTGTGCAAGTTCTCCCACTTAAAAAGATGAGAGAGGCCTGTAATTTTCATCATAGGTACACGTCAACTATGAGAGACAAAATAAGAAAAATAAATCCAGAAAATCACATTGTAGGATTTTTAATGAATTTATTTGCAAATTATGGTGGAAAATAAGTATTTGGTCAATAACAAAAGTTTCTCAATACTTTGTTATATACCCTTTGTTGGCAATGACACAGGTCAAACGTTTTCTGTAAGTCTTCACAAGGTTTTCACACACTGTTGCTGGTATTTTGGCCCATTCCTCCATGCAGATCTCCTCTAGAGCAGTGATGTTTTGGGGCTGTCGCTGGGCAACACGGACTTTCAACTCCCTCCAAAGATTTTCTATGGGGTTGAGATCTGGAGACTGGCTAGGCCACTCCAGGACCTTGAAATGCTTCTTACAAAGCCACTCCTTCGTTGCCCGGGCGGTGTGTTTGGGATCATTGTCATGCTGAAAGACCCAGCCACGTTTCATCTTCAATGCCCTTGCTGATGGAAGGAGGTTTTCACTCAAAATCTCATGATACATGGCCCCATTCATTCTTTCCTTTACACGGATCAGTCGTCCTGGTCCCTTTGCAGAAAAACAGCCCCAAAGCATGATGTTTCCACCCCTATGCTTCACAGTAGATATGGTGTTCTTTGGATGCAACTCAGCATTCTTTGTCCTCCAAACACGACGAGTTGAGTTTTTACCAGAAAGTTCTATTTTGGTTTCATCTGACCATATGACATTCTCCCAATCCTCTTCTGGATCATCCAAATGCACTCTAGCAAACTTCAGACGGGCCTGGACATGTACTGGCTTAAGCAGGGGGACACGTCTGGCACTGCAGGATTTGAGTCCCTGGCGGCGTAGTGTGTTACTGATGGTAGGCTTTGTTACTTTGGTCCCAGCTCTCTGCAGGTCATTCACTAGGTCCCCTCGTGTGGTTCTGGGATTTTTGCTCACCATTCTTGTGATCATTTTGACCCCACAGGGTGAGATCTTTTGTGGAGCCCCAGATCGAGGGAGATTATCAGTGGTCTTGTATGTCTTCCATTTCCTAATAATTGCTCCCACAGTTGATTTCTTCAAACCAAGCTGCTTACCTATTGCAGATTCAGTCTTCCCAGCCTGGTGCAGGTCTACAATTTTGTTTCTGGTGTCCTTTGACAGCTCTTTGGTCTTGGCCATAGTGGAGTTTGGAGTGTGACTGTTTGAGGTTGTGGACAGGTGTCTTTTATACTGATAACAAGTTCAAACAGGTGCCATTAATACAGGTAATGAGTGGAGGACAGAGGAGCCTCTTAAAGAAGAAGTTACAGGTCTGTGAGAGCCAGAAATCTTGCTTGTTTGTAGGTGACCAAATACTTATTTTCCACCATAATTTGCAAAGAAATTAATTAAAAATCCTACAATGTGATTTTCTGGATTTTTTTTCCTCAATTTGTCTGTCATAGTTGACGTGTACCTATGATGAAAATTACAGGCCTCACTCATCTTTTTAAGTGGGAGAACTTGCACAATTGGTAGCTGACTAAATACTTTTTTTCCCCCACTGTATGCCTGATGTCTGTGCACAGAACAAAGAAGATGTTAAAAAGCTATTACAAAGCTAAAGTCAAAGCTATTACGTGTTAAAAGGAAACAAGTACTTCTTAAATTCAAATGTAGATTTCATTCAGGGCAAATGTTTGCTACCAGAGAAACCTCATTTCACAGATTTAGTCATGTTCATGGCTGTAAGGGATACATTGTCTATCTAAGGCACCACGTCAAGCTTCAGACACAACCAACCGTTCCCCATAAGGAACTTTCAATCCCATCATTTAACTGCCCTAACCTTTAATGAATACTATAATTTGTTCATTATTGTACATCACTGTCCATTCAAACACTCTGCATCACACGGGGTGTGTTTCTAAGTCTCCCCCTCTCTTATCTCTCCCTACTCCAGGTGCCACCTCTCTAGTCCTGTACTACCGCTTCCTCCACCCCAAGTCCACTGAGATTGCCCAAGGCCATGGCCTCAGCCACCGCAACCACCACATGGGCTCCACCTGCCTGGAGGGCCTAGAGCAGGGCGAGTCTTCCTACTCCCTGGGGGGTGGGGGAGGTGACAAGAGCCTCCCCCCGGCCGCACCCTCCTCCCTGCACAATCACGGCAGCTTCTCCCTCTCTGGCGTGGCCGGCTCCCTCCTGGAGCATCCTGGGAGTTGCGGTCCCAGGCTGGGTAACTCGTGCCTCTGCCGCCACCACCACTGGCTCCTGATTCGCTTGGCACTAAAAACGAGCGACGTAGGAAAGATCAACCGGGCCTATGGCGCCGGCGGCGTGGTGGCCATCTTGGACGAGGACGAGTACTGTTGTAACTCAGAGGCCACGGGTACGGGTGGTGGCAGGACTACCACAGCGTTTGGGGGCAACTATGTCGGGTTCTCCGGGGCCTCTGTGTCTGAATCGCAGGGGACGAAGCGGGGCCTGGCACCCCTCTCGGACTGCAAGGAGGAGTTCCAGAGCGCCAGCGACGAGCCCACGTCCGCCGAGACACCTGACGAGGAGGAGAGTGAGGACAGCCTGGAGGACATGCAGAGCCCGCTGGAGTCGCCGGTGTCGGACTCCTTAAAGCGCAGCTCGCCCGAGGGCAAATCAGTGTTCGGGGACAGCCCCGAGCCCTACTTCTGCCCCAGTACCACCCTGTCCAGCTCCACACTGTACTTCAGCGCCGACCCCCAGTCCCCCAGCAGCACCAGCAACCCCCGCCTGGACCGGGCCAGCCCCCCCATGGGCATGGCAGGCCTCAGCTCCATCCCCAGCGACCCCGCCCTGCACAGGGACGTCAGGGGACTGCAGATGGGTCGGATGGGACATCGCTACACCTCCACACCCAAACTGGACTATGGGACGCAGGGGGACTCACCGCCCAGCATCCCTCATCTGAGTGGTCCCAGGAGGCAGCTAATACTGTCGCACCGAGACGAGGACGATGGATTTTAGGAACAAGGGAGGGAAAAAGAGATGGGGGGGAAAGAGATTGATTATGCTTCCTCTCCATTGACTTTTCAAACTCAACCCCAGCTCAAAGCCAGCTCATTTAGAAGCACAAATATCTTATGTAATATACATTTCCTATAAAGGTGTCCGTTATCATTTCTTGCTGATCGTTCTGAGTACAAAGTACTTTCTATTGAGGATCGCCTATACCACCGAGTACCGGTACATACTTTTCATAACAATAACTTTAACCCAGTTCAATCAACGATACCTCCTAATCAACCAAATATAATGCAACAAACAAATAATACCACAAAAACATATTTAAACGCTTTTTTAAATAATTATAGAAGTGGGACATGATCTCGGCTAAAGTGAAGATACCCGCTACAATATGTCAGCTTAGTATCTGAACTTTGTATCAGCTAGCATTTACAGATACCGTATCGGCCTGATACCGAGTACCATCATCGATAGTATCAGTGCACCTCTAATTTCCTGTTTGTGTTTTTGTTATTCCTTTGAAAAGATACTCCCCCCTAACCCCAAAATTAACATAATTAATACATTGAACAGGACAAGGGTTCACTAGGAACCAATCGTAAGCAAACGGCCGAAACAGGGAGGGTCTAAACTGAACTTGTCCAATAAGAAACACTAGTTTTTGTTGCAAAATGTTTAGCTACCGTTTGCTACGGTGTGCTGTGCACTAATGACTACACCCCAGGTGAACGTATACACACTCATTTGCTGACACTGCTTAGGACAGACAGGGCTTCATAGTCAACTCGACAAAACTGTTTGATGGTGAAATTTGACAGGTGTCTCGCTTTTTATATGACACATTTTGCCTTTTGCGAAGTTGTTCATATTAACAAACATATTTATTGCTAAGAGCTAATTAATTAATATTTTTAAGGTACATTATGTTGCAAAAATATATACTTTTTTATTCTTTGTCTTAAAGACATGTTGAACATGTTAACTTGCTAAATGCAGTTTTTCAATTGAGATACTGTAAAATGTTGTATTGTGGTTGTGTTTTAAACAATTTTCACACCTCAAATGTGAAGGTAAATGGAAAAATAAGGGATATCCAAGACATATTTTATGACAATGTTTTGCTGTGCTCATTTTTTCATCTCTTATGAGGGATCATTGTATTGTTGACTAAATGCTCTATAAAGGACCCAGGATACGATAGTGTCTTCAGAAAGTATTCACACTCCTTGATATTTTCCACATTTTGTTGTGTTACAGCCTGAATTTAAAATAGATTAAATTGAGATTTTTTGGTCACTGGCCTACACACTACCCCATAATGTCAAAGTGGAATTATGTTTTTTGAAATGTTTACAAATTATATAAAAATGAAAAGCTGAAATGTCTTGAGTATAAGTATTCAACCCCTTTGTTATCGCAAGCTTAAATAAGTTCAGGAGTAAAAAATAAAAAATGCTTAACAAGCATGGACTCACTCTGTGTGCAATAATAGTGTTTAACATGCTTTTTTTATGACTACCTCATCTCTGTAACCCACACATACAATTATCTGTAAGGTCCCTCAGTCGAGCACTGAATTTCAAACAGATTCAACCACAAAGACCAGGGAGGTTTTCCAATGGCTCACAAAGAAGGGCACCTATAAACAGGACATTGAATATCCCTTTCAGCATGGTGAAGTTATTCATTACACTTTGGATGGTGTATCAATACACCCAGTCACTACAAAGATACAGGCGTCCTTCCTAACTCAGTTGCCGGAGAGGAAGGAAACCGCTCAGGGATTTCACCATGAGGCCAATGGTGACTTTAAAACAATTACAATTTAATGGCTGTGATAGGAGAAAACTGAGGATGGATCAACAACATTTTAGTTACTCCACAATACTAACCTAATTAACAGTGAAATGAAAGAAGCCTGTACAGAATAACAAATATTCCAAAACATGCATCCTGTTTGCGTCAAGGCACAAAAGTAATACTGCAAAACATGTGGCAAAGCAATTTAACTTTTTGTCCTGAATACAAAGTGTTATGTTTGGGGCAAGTCCAATACAACACAAATCTGAGTACCACTCTCCATATTTTCAAGTATAGTGGTGGCTGCATCATGTTATGGGTATGCTTGTAATCGTTAAGGACTGGGGAGTTTTTTCAGGGTATAAAAGAAACGGAATGGAATTAAGCACAGGCAAAATTTCCTAGAGGAAAAGCAGGTTCAGTCTGCTTTCCACCAGACACTGGGAGATTAATTCACCTTTCAGCAGGACAATAATCTAAAACACAGGGCCAAATATACACTGGAGTTGCTTACCAAGAAGACAGTGAATTTTCCTGAGTGGCCGAGTTACAGTTTTGACTTAAATCTGCTTGAAAATGTATGGCAAGACCTGAAAATGGTTGTCTAGCAATGATCAACAACCAAATTGACAGAATTTGAGAAAAGTTGAAAAGAATAATGGGCAAATGCTTCACAATCCAGGTTTGGAAAGCTGTTAAGAGACTTACCCAGAATGACTCACCGCTGTAATCGCTGCCAAAGGTGATTCTAACATGTATTGACCCAGGGGGTTGAATACGTATCTAATCAAGATATATTAGTGTTTTATTTTTCATGAATTTTTTACATATGTTACAAATTCTTCCACTTTGACATTACAGAGTGTGGTGTAGATCGTTGACAAAAAATGACAATTACATAAATTTTAATCCCACTTTATAAGAGAAAATGTGGATGAAGTCAAGGGGTGTGAATACTTTTGGAAGGCACATAGGCAACACGTACAGAACACTGAAATTATGCTGGTTTTCATAGTTTTCTCCCTCTCAGGTGCTTGCCTATTCAACATTTTGTTCCATAGGTCAAAGCCACTGTTGGTTTAATAATAAACAAGCAATAAAGGTTATATTGGGTGGACTTGATGCAAAAATGTGTTGTAATTATTTCAACTTTCTGTACACAAATGAATGTATGAATGATATATTTTTTTTATCTACAGTAATAGCAAATTAGTTATGTTATGCTTGTATGCATTACATAGAAATGCATAGGTAATATGGGGTAACTTTTGTGCCCTTCTTTGTCCTTTGAAAAGAAGCAGGTGACTTAAACAAGCTCGATCATCGAACTATTTTTACATTCAAATCACTTCAAACATTTGGTTTTTGTTGTAAATAAGAAAATGCTTTGAAGGTCTGTAGCGTTCTGTAATTCTGAAGTTGCCAGATAGGAAGAAATTTCACTTAGCCTTACCTTTAATGAGGAATTTTCAAAACGTCCCCTTTTAGAGTTTGCACATGCGCAGAGCAAGGAAAAAGTTAACTCCTGAACTTCGCAGTCAGATTTTTTTTTGGATGAAGTAAAAAGTCGGAAAAGTCATTCTGCTGAAATGGCATTCCGGAGGAGAAACAAGAGTTATCCCTTCTTTAGCCAGGAATTCTTAATACAGAATCATGCCGATATCGTCTTTAGTTTGGTCATTTTCATTCTGATTGGATTGATGTTTGAGGTGAGATGAATTCTGATTCTAATTTTTTCCCTCGTTTCACTCAGCTGTTTTTTGTTGGCAGGTCCGCTACAGATCTAACCATGAGATATTCCAATTGCATGTAGTTGAACGACATGTAATATCTTTCATCTGTTTCATATGAAATCGGTTGCAACGATAACTTTTACTACTGCTGTTGGCTACACTTAATCATTTTAATGTGTTCTGCAGATATGGCGGTGGTTGGTAGATACGATACTATGTTGCATTTTTTGTTACAATGCAATAGCGAAAGGCTACCTATAGTTACAAAGTTTGTGTGCAAGTTGACAGCGATGAAGTGGAAGTGAAAGACTGGACATTTTTACAGCATAACTTCCTTCATCTCGACATCAGTCTGTTCCTAGGCTAGTTCATCTAAAGTAGCTCATTTTGTCAGTTTTAACGGGACGCGTTCAGTCTCAAATGTAGAAGATTTTGCATAGCCTACGATTTACCAATTTAAAGTGTCGTTTGGTAACAATGCAACACTTTTTAATTGACGTTAAACTTAAACTATTTCGGTGTGCTTGACATCAACTAAAAGCTAATTTAAGGCACAACTAATGACCATAATCGAATACATTTTTAGTGCCTCTTGGTTCTCGTTGCCAAAGCCTTTCGACGAAGGAAGCCCGCTGCACCAATTTGATCCCGAGTTAACTGCCACGTCTCAATCTTTGAGCACTGCTGCAGCGGGTTATTTTGCAATGAAAGAGTAGGTGTGCTTGCGTTTCTGTGCACTGACTGTGACGCGAATTGTGTTCCATGTTCTATTTGCGCCCGAGCTGTCATTTTTTATTAAAGGACAAATGTTAGATTATAGCCCTAACACTTGGTTAGATAATTGAATGCTTCGACTAAAAATGGTCGTCATGGGCCGGTTGATGAATTCACACGTAGATAAACACTTGCTGTAGCCTAATCTGTCAAATAACCTAGTCTACGGTTCGTTTGGAAAAGTAATTTGCATTGCTGTGACTGTGTTTAAAGTATCAATCCGGGATTCTCAGTCCCTTCGAAAGCTATTGGCCTTCATGTGTTGGCTACATATAGGCTATGGAGGGGGTTTCCTTGAGCTTTCACGTTTCGGAAAGAGTGAAACACACTGTGGTAACACTTCACTCCGAATAGACCCATGCAAACTAGATCCCCTCTCGTGAACTCCGTTGGCTTTAGTTTTGACAAGGCACCAGGTGGCCCTGGCGCGCGTGGAATGTTGGCAATTTGTTAGTGCGCTCGAGTTTACTGTAAAATAAGCTGCATATCCCTTCGTCATGGCGAGGCGACTCGTTTTTTTAATACAGCACCGTCCCCCCTCGGAATTCACGTTCGAAGCAGCGTCAAATTACCCCCAAAAGTGGGAGGTGTTTGAGAAAGTTTCCGTTTGCAATAATATATATTTGTGGACTGCAGTAACTACACGCTGCGCCCACTGCACCCCGCGCCCTCTGCCATTGAGGGTAATACTAACAGTACTACGTCCATTAGGTCACTAAATGCCTCGCCCACTAGCATTTCGTCACTACACGCATTATCTACATGCACGCTAGCTAGCTAGTACACGCTAGCTATACTAAACAAAAATATAAATGCAACGATTTTACAGTTCATATAAGGAAATCTGTCAATTGAAATGAATTAATTAGGCCCTAATCTATGGATTTCACATGACTGGCCAGTGGCACAGCCATGGGTGGGTCTGGGAGAGCATGGGCCTTCCCACTGGGGAGCCAGGCCCAGCCAATCAGAATTAGTTTTTCCCCACAAACGAGCTTTATTACAGACAAAAGTACTCCTCAGTTTCATCAGCTGTCTGGGTGGCTGGTCTCAGATGATCCCGCAGGTGAAGAAGCTGGATGTGGAGGTCCTGGGCTGGCGTGGTTACACATGATCTGCAGTTGTGAGGCCAGTTGGACGTACTGCCAAATTCTCTAAAACAACGTTGGAGGCGGCTTATGGTAGAGAAATTAACATACAATTATCTGGCAACAGCTCTGGTGGACATTTCTGCAGTCAGCATGCCAATTGTGTAGATCGTCACTACATGCCGCTCCCACAGTCTGCAGTCCGTAAAAAGACAGACATACACACACAAATGTCCATTACCAGAACTTTATCCACTCCGTATTTGTCCGTCTACTTGCTTTCATAAACAAGAAAGTAATGCATAGGCAAGCCACTTGGCAGTTTCATAAAACGTTAGATATCTAATCTCAGCATAGATCTAACCTAAATGTGATTGTGCTTCTCTTTTCTAGGCAACAGCAAAAACTGCAATACTGTTTATTCAACCCCAGTACAACATCAGCACCCTGTCACCAGGTTTGTGCCACAACCCCCATTCAACACTACCACATCAGCTATGAGTCTATTCCCTATATAGGACACTACTTTGACCAGGGCCCATAGGGCTCTGGTCAAAAGTAGTGCACTATGTAGAGAATAGGGTGCCATTTGGGATACATCCATAGCCTACTATCACTCTGTTTGTCAGAGGAGGCTTATCTGCCATTTCTGTCATACCTGTTGTCATCAGTACGTTCCTCACTGTAGCCTACTTTTGTGTGTACTTTATGATGAGTGTGTCCTTTGTCACTCATTATGCCTACCTGCCCTCCATTGTCTGTCTGTCCAGAGGGAGAGGTGACGTTGTACCAGTACGGGTGGCGGGACTGGGCCACCATCCTCTTCTATTTCTTCATCACCATCATCCTCCACGCCGTGGTGCAGGAGTACGTCCTGGATGTGAGTATTACCAAGCCTCACTGCATTGTGGGTATTTGTGTTCCCAAAGCAACATCCAGGCACTCTGGCATCTTAACTGTCTGTCAATTGAAACCAATAGATGCCAAAATCTTGTAGATTGGCGGCAATGGGGCAAGGCGGGTTGGCCCGCCTTGTCGATACAATGGTAGTTAACACTGATGGGTAAAATGGAGATTCAACTCTGGAACAATGGAGACTGACTGGTCTGAGTAGAAGTTTCCCTTGTATGCACAGAGCTAGGATCAGCCAATCGTAGCATGAACCATTTAAATTGGAAATGCAAAACTGACCTTAGATCAAGGTTGATGGGCCTACTCCACACAGACTCATCATGAGGTCACAAGTTGAATGGGGTTGTTTTTCTGTCTGCTCTCCTATACAAAACATCCAGGATACAGGGATGTAGCCTGGGGCCATATCCACAAATTGTTTCAGAGTGCTGATCGAGGACCTGTCCATACAATATGATCTATGCGAGATCAGCACTCCTCTGAGACGCTTTGTAGATAAGGGCCCTGGTCCTAGATCTGTTTGTGCTGTCTTGCCACCTCCTATGTTTAGCATTACAGTGACCCTAAGAGTTGTCAAGACAGTACAAAAAGATCTGGGACCCGGCTAATAGGAATAGGATTGTAATGCTAAACAGTTGATCTCAAAAAAAGGAATGTAATTGTAATATTATTTAGCTCTATCATCAACTGTGTTTACAATGGGTTAACACGGGTGTCAAACATACGGGCCGCAGGTTTTATATATACACTGCTCAAAAAAATAAAGGGAATACTAAAATAACACATCTAGTGACACGAGTCACCTAGATCTGAATTAATGAAATAATCTTATTAAATACTTTTTTCTTTACATAGTTGAATGTGCTGACAACAAAATCACACACAAATTATCAATGGAAATCAAATTTATCAACCCATGGAGGTCTGGATTTGGAGTCACCCTCAAAATTAAAGTGGAAAACCACACTACAGGCTGATCCAACTTTGATGTAATGTCCTTAAAACAAGTCAAAATGAGGCTCAGTAGTGTGTGTGGCCTCCACGTGCCTGTATGACCTCCCTACAACGCCTGGGCATGCTCCTGATGAGGTGGTGGATGGTCTCCTGAGGGATCTCCTCCCAGACCTGGACTAAAGCATCCGCCAACTCCTGGACAGTGTGGTGCAACGTGGCGTTGGTGGATGGAGCGAGACATGATGTCCCAGATGTGCTCAATTGGATTCAGGTCTGGGGAACGGGCGGGCCAGTCCATAGCATCAATGCCTTCCTCTTGCAGGAACTGCTGACACACTGCAGCCACATGAGGTCTAGCATTGTCTTGCATTAGGAGGAACCCAGGGCCAACCGCACCAGCATATGGTCTCACAAGGGGTCTGAGGATCTCATCTCGGTACCTAATGGCAGTCAGGCTACCTCTGCCGAGCACATGGAGGGCTGTGCGGCCCCCCAAAGAAATGCCACCCCACACCATGACTGACCCACCGCCAAACCGGTCATGCTGCAGGGCTCTGGCAGTGCTCCTCCTGCTCCTCCTTGCACAAAGGCGGAGGTAGCAGTCCTGCTGCTGGGTTGTTGCCCTCCTACGGCCTCCTCCACGTCTCCTGATGTACTGGCCTGTCTCCTGGTAGCGCCTCCATGCTCTGGACACCTACGCTGACAGACACAGCAAACCTTCTTGCCACAGCTCGCATTGATGTGCCATCCTGGATGAGCTGCACTACCTGAGCCACTTGTGTGGGTTGTAGACTCCGTCTCATGCTACCACTAGAATGAAAGCACCGCCAGCATTCAAAAGTGACCAAAACATCAGCCAGGAAGCATAGGAATGGCGCCGGAGAAGATGGCTGCCGTTTTACAGCCCTCTAACCAATTGTACTATTATATGTGTTTTTCCGCGTTATTTGTAATTTATTTTGTACATAATGTTTCTGCCATCGTCTCTTATAACCAAAAAGAACTTCTGGATATCAGGCCAGCGATTACTCACCTCGCATTGGACAAATAATTTTTCTTCAAGGCGGCCGCGAAGGATATCCTACAGACACCCGACAAGGCCCAAATCCCCGTCATTCGCATGAGGAAGAGACGGAGATATCGTGGACGTAGGTCGGGGTGCCTTGTAAGGATCCGACGGCGAGCAAATAAACTGCCGCTCCCATCAATCCTATTAGCCAATCTTCAATCATTGGAAAATGAATTGGATGACCTAAGATTACGGTTATCCTACCAACGGGACATTAAAAACTGTAATATCTTATGTTTCACCGAGTCGTGGCTGAACGAAGACATGGATAACATACAGCTAGCGGGCTATACGCTACATCGGCAGGATAGAACGGCTGACTCTTGTAAGACAAGGGGTGGCGGTCTGTGTATATTTGTAAACAACAGCTGGTGCACAAAATCAAATACTAAGGAAGTCTCGAGGTTTTGCTCGCCTGAGGTAGAGTATCTTATGATAAGCTGTAGACCACACTATTTACCAAGAGAGTTTTCATCTATACTTTTCATAGCTGTCTATTTACCGCCACAAACCAATGCTGGCATTAAGATTGCACTGAATGAGCTGTATAAGGCCATAAGTCAACAGGAGAACGCTCATCCAGAGGCAGTGCTCCTAGTGGCCGGGGACTTTAGTGCAGGGAAACTTAAATCTGTTCTACCTAATTTCTACCAGCATGTTAAATGTGCAACCAGAAGAAAAAAAACTCTAGACCACCTTTACTCCACACACAGAGATGCATACAAAGCTCTCCCTCGCCCTCCATTTGGCAAATCTGACCATAATTCTATCCTCCTGATTCCTGCTTATAAGCAAAAACTAAAGCAGGAAGCACCAGTGACTCGGTTAATAAAAAAGTGGTCAGATGACGCAGATACTAAGCTACAGGACTGTTTTGCTAGCACAGACTGGAACATGTTCCGGGATTCTTCAGATAGCATTGAGGAGTACACCACATCAGTCACTGGCTTCATCAATAAGTGCATCAATGATGTCATCCCCACAGTGACCGTACGTACATACCCCAACCAAAAGCCATGGATTACAGGAAACATCCGCACTGAGCTAAAGGGTAGAGCTGCCGCTTTCAAGGAGCGGGACTCTAACCCGGACGCTTATAAGAAATCCCGCTATGCCCTCCGACGAACCATCAAACAGGCAAAGAGTCAATACAGGACTAAGATTGAATCGTACTACACCGGCTCTGACGCTCGTCGGATGTGGCAGGGCTTGAAAACTATTACAGACTACAAAGGGAAGCACAGCCGTGAGCTTCCCAGTGACACAAGCCTATCAGACGAGCTAAAGCACTTCTATGCTCGCTTCGAGGCAAGCAGCACTGAAGCATGCATGAGAGCACCAGTTGTTCCGGATGACTATGTGATCACGCTCTCCGTAGCCGATGTGAGTAAGACTTTTAAGCAGGTCAACATTCACAAGGCCGCAGGGCCAGACGGATTACCAGGACGTGTACTCCGAGCATGTGCTGACCAACTGGCAAGTGTCTTCACTGACATTTTCAACATGTCCCTGACTGAGTCTGTAATACCAACATGTTTCAAGCAGACCACCATAGTCCCCGTGCCCAAGGACACTAAGAGAACCTGCCTAAATGACTACCGACCCATAGCACTGACGTCTGTAGCCATGAAATGCTTTGAAAGGCTGGTCATGGCTCACATCAACACCATTATCCCAGAAACCCTAGACCCACTCCAATTTGCATACCGCCCCAACAGATCCACAGATGATGCAATCTCTATTGCACTCCACACTGCCCTTTCCCACCTGGACAAGAGGAACACCTACGTGAGAATGCTATTCATTGACTACAGCTCAGCATTCAACACCATAGTGCCCTCAAAGCTCATCACTAAGCTAAGGATCCTGGGACTAAACACCTCCCTCTGCAACTGGATCCTGGACTTCCTGACGGGCCGCCCCCAGGTGGTAAGGGTAGGTAACAACATCTGCCACACTGATCCTCAACACGGGGGCCCCTCAGGGGTGCGTGCTCAGTCCCCTCCTATACTCCCTGTTCACCCATGACTGCATGGCCAGGCACGACTCCAACACCATCATTAAGTTTGCCGACGACACAACAGTGGTAGGCCTGATCACCGACAACGATGAGACAGCCTATAGGGAGGAGGTCAGAGACCTGGCCGTGTGGTGCCAGGATAACAACCTCTCCCTCAACGTGACCAAGACAAAGGAGATGATTGTGGACTACAGGAAAAAGAGGACTGAGCACGCCCCCATTCTCATCGACGGGGCTGTAGTGGAAAAGGTTGAGAGCTTCAAGTTCCTTGGTGTCCACATCACCAACGAACTATCATGGTCCAAACACACCAAGACAGTCGTGAAGAGGGCACGACAAAGCCTATTCCCCCTCAGGAGACTGAAAAGATTCGGCATGGGTCCTCAGATCCTCAAAAAATTCTACAGCTGCACCATCGAGAGCATCCTGACTGGTTGCATCACCGCCTGGTATGGCAACTGCTTGGCCTCCGACCGCAAGGCACTACAGAGGGTATTGCGTACGGCCCAGTACATCACTGGGGCCAAGCTTCCTGCCATCCAGGACCTCTATACCAGGCGGTGTCAGAGGAAGGCCCTCAAAATTGTCAGACTCCAGCCACCCTAGTCATAGACTGTTCTCTCTGCTACCGCACGGCAAGCGGTACCAGAGTGCCAAGTCTAGGTCCAAAAGACTTCTCAACAGCTTCTACCCCCAAGCCATAAGACTCCTGAACAGCTAATCATGGCTACCCGGACTATTTGCACTGCCCCCCCCCCCCCCCCACCCCCCACCCCATCATTTTACGCTGCTGCTGCTACTCTGTTAATTATTTATGCATAGTCACTTTAACTCTACCCACATGTACATACTACTTCAACTTCCTCAACTAGCCGGTGCCCCCGCACATTGACTCTGCACCGGTACCCCCCTGTATATATAGCCTCCCTATTGTTATTTTATTTTACTTCTGCTCTTTTTTTCTCAACACTTTTTTTGTTGTTGTTTTATTTTACTTTTTTATTAAAAATAAATGTACTGTTGGTTAAGGGCTGTAAGTAAGCATTTCACTGTAATGTCTGCACCTGTTGTATTCGGCGCATGTGGCCAATAACATTTGATTTGATAGGAACTGAGAAGTGGTCTGTGGTCACCACCTGCAAAACCAGTCCTTTATTGTGGGTGTCTTGCTAATTGCCTATAATTTCCACCTGTTGTCTATTCCATTTGCACAACAGCATGTGAAATGTATTGTCAATCAGTGTTGCTTCCTAAGTGGACAGTTTGATTTCACAGAAGTGTGATTGACTTGGAGTTACATTGTGTTGTTTAAGTGTTCCCTTTATTTATTTGAGCAGTGTGTGTGTGTATATATATATATATATATATATAGCTAGCTGTGGAAAAAATTAAGAGACCACTGCATAATTATCAGTTTCTCTGGTTTTACTATTTATAGGTATTTGTTTGGGTAAAAAAAAAAAAATTTTTGTTTTATTCTATAAACTACTGACAACATTTCTTCCAAATAAAAATATTGTCATTCAGAGCATTTATTTGCAAAAAATGACAACTGGTCAAAATAACAAAAAAGATGCAGTGTTGTCAGACCTCCGATTTTCAATCACAGCTTTCATGCGTCTTGGCATGCTCTCCACCAGTCTTTCACATTGATGTTGGGTGACTTTATGCCACTCCTGGCGCAAAAATTCAAGCAGCTCGGCTTTGTTTGATGGCTTGTGACCATCCATCTTCCTCTTGATCACATTCCAGAAGTTTTCAATGGGGTTCAGGTCTGGAGATTGGGCTGGCCATGACAGGGTCTTGATCTGGTGGTCCTCCATCCACACCTTGATTGACCTGGCTGTGTGACATGGCGCATTGTCCTGCTGGAAAAACCAATCCTCAGAGTTGGGGAACAACGTCAGAGCAAAAGGAAGCAAGTTTTCTTCCAGGACAACCTTGTACGTGGCTTGATTCATGCATCCTTCACAAAGACAAATCTGCCCGATTCCAGCCTTGATGAAGCACCCCCAGATCATCACCGATCCTCCACCAAATTTCACAGTGGGTGCGAGACACTGTGGCTTGTAGGCCTCTCCAGGTCTCCGTCTAACCATTAGACGACCAGGTGTTGGGCAAAGCTGAAAATTGGACTCATCAGAGAAGATGACCTTACTCCAGTCCTCTACGGTCCAATCCTTATGGTCTTTTGCAAACCTCAGCCTGGCTCTTCTTTGCTTCTCATTGATGAAGGTTTTTTTTCTAGCTTTGCATGACTTCAGCCCTGCCCCTATGAGCCTGTTTCGAACCGTCCTCGCCGTGCACTTTTTGTAGGTCACTTGATGTCATCCTACGGTTGTTGAGTGACATTCGAATGAGTTGGCGGTCATCCCGGTCATTAGAGAGTCGTTTTCGCCCTCTGCCGGTCTGTAGCTTTGTTGTCCCCAATGTCTGCTGTTTGACCTTGTTCTTATGAACCACCGTCTTTGAAATGTTAAGGATGGAAGCAACCTGACGCTCACTGTATCCCTCTGCCAGTAAAGCTAGAACTGAACCCTTCTTTTCCTCACTCAAAACTTTCCTTTTCAACTTTTTTGGCATGGTCAATAGTTATTTTTTGATTAATATTACTTTTGAGGTACTATTAGCACTGTTTTTGCCATCCAACTGGTATTATTGCAAGAGGATAGTGATGACCACAGCAGTGTTTTTTTTATACTTTTCCTCGTTAAATAAGATTTGGTTCATGTGATCACCTAATCAGTACCTAATTCAGAAGAATGAGGTGTGCCTGTGTTGGAATTCAACAGACACTGGAATGGAATGGCTGTCATACATGTACAGTGAGCGGGAAAAAGTATTTGATCCCCTGCTTATTTTGTATGATTGCGCACTGACAAAGACATGATCAGTCTATAATTTTAATGGTAGGTTTATTTGAACAGTGAGAGACAGAATAACAACAAAAAAATCCTGAAAAACGCATGTCAAAAATGTTATAAATTTATTTGCATTTTAATGAGGGAAATAAGTATTTCACCCCTCTGCAAAACATGACTTAGTACTTGGTGGCAAAACCCTTGTTGGCAATCACAGAGGTCAGACGTTTCTTGTAGTTGGCCACCAGGTTTGCACACATCTCAGGATGGATTTTGTCCCACTCCTCTTTGCAGATCTTCTCCAAGTCATTAAGGTTTCGAGGCTGACGTTTGGCAACTCGAACCTTCAGCTCCCTCCACAGATTTTCTATGGGATTAAGGTCTGGAGACTGGCTAGGCCACTCCAGGACCTTAATGTGCTTCTTCTTGAGCCACTCCTTTGTTGCCTTGGCCGTGTGTTTTGGGTCATTGTCCTGCTAGAATACCCATCCATGATCCATTTTCAATGCCCTGGCTGAGGGGAGGTGGTTCTCACCCAAGATTTGACGGTACATGGCCCCGTCCATCATCCCTTTGATGCAGTGAAGTTGTCCTGTCTCTTTAGCAGAAAAACACCCCCAAAGCATAATGTTTCCACCTCCATGTTTGATGGTGTTCTTGGGGTCATAGGCAGCATTCCTCCTCCTCCAAACACGGCGAGTTGAGTTGATGCCAAAGACCTCGATTATGGTCTCATCTGATCACAACACTTTCACCCAGTTCTCCTCTGAATCATTCAGATGTTCATTGGCAAACTTCAGACGGCCCTGTATATGTGCTTTCTTGAGCAGGGGGACCTTGCGGGCGCTGCAGGATTTCAGTCCTTCACGGCGTAGTGTGTTACCAATTGTTTTCTTGGTGACTATGGTCCCAGCTGCCTTGAGATCATTGACAAGATCCTCCCGTGTAGTTCTGGGCTGATTCCTCACCGTTCTCATGATCATTGCAACTCCACGAGGTGAGATCTTGCATGGAGCCCCAGGCCGAGGGAGATTGACAGTTCTTTTGTGTTTCTTCCATTTGCGAATAATCGCACCAACTGTTGTCACCTTCTCACCAAGCTGCTTGGCGATGGTCTTCTAGCCCATTCCAGCTTTGTGTAGGTCTACAATCTTGTCCCTGACATCCTTGGAGAGCTCTTTGGTCTTGGCCATGGTGCAGAGTTCGGAATCTGATTGATTGCTTCTGTGGACAGGTGTCTTTTATACAGGTAACAAACTGAGATTAGGAGCACTCCCTTTAAGAGTGTGCTCCTAATCTCAGCTCGATACCTGTATAAAAGACACCTGGGAGCCAGAAATCTTTCTGATTGAGAGGGGGTCAAATACTTATTTCCCTCATTTAAAATGCAAATCAATTTATAACATTTTTGACATGCGTTTTTCTAGATGGTTTTGTTGTTATTCTGTCTCTCACTGTTCAAATAAACCTACCATTAATATTATAGACTGATAATTTCTTTGTCAGTGGGCAAATGTACAAAATCAGCAGGGGATCAAATACTTTTTTCCCTCACTGTAGAGATGCTGATTTAAGAAACATTTGCAGTGGTCTCTTAATTTTTTCCAGAGCCATATATACATATATATTATTTTTTTTCGGGGGGGGGGGACAAACTCAATATACTTTAAAATGAATAAATCCAAATCGAAACTCTGTAGAAATAATGGACCTACATTCATAAAGTTTCTTGAGTGTTTCCAGCTCACTAATCACCGAAATGAAAGCAAGACTATCAGGGCGCATCAAAAATGTCAAAAACTATGGATAGAGGGCAATGTTTTGCAAACGTATAAAATATAATCAATTTTCAATGCGGCCCTCCAGACCTCGTTGAAGACCGAATGCATCCCCTTGACACCCCTGGGTTAACACTTGTACGGTACGTCTCTGCTCCAAGTGCGTCGGAGTGGTTAAAGATAGCTTTTGTTGTCAAAGGTTTTTTGTTTCTGTACACTTCCTTGTGTATCATAATGACAAGGTTTCTATGGAACCAGGAAATGAAACCCATTTTGACACAACCAGTCTCCCATGATATCTGGAGCCTAATTTTTAACCACATGCTCTTTTTTTGTTCTGTTTTTAGAAGGTAAATAGGCGTCTCCATCTCTCGAAAAGCAAGAACACCAAGTTTAATGAGTCGGGCCAGCTGTGTGTGTTTCACCTGGTGTCCAGCATGTGGAGTCTCTACATACTCATAACAGTAAGACACACACACACACACACACACATGTGTCGTGTAAAGTCAAATCATGAAGATTTCCACTAAAGTCTCCCTTTTCTCTTTTCAGGAAGGATACCTGTTTCACCCTAGTAACCTTTGGGAGAACTACCCACATGTCCACCTCAGGTATGATGACTCGGCACTAAAACAGGGGTATCTTGTTGCTGTCTGCATCACAAATGGTGCCCTATTCCGTGTATAGTGCAATACTCTTGACCAGGACATTTAGGGCGCAGACAGGAACAATATATATTGTGTTAACCATAATCATTAGCACAATGGCAATGTAACTCCCTTATAGTTGATCTTCTTGTAAAGTAAAAATTAAGATTGTATTCTTCTCAGGTGTAACTATTAGTAGGCCTCTCATGATGGGTTAAACAACCCTTCTTTACTCCTTCAGGTTTCCCCAACTCAAGTCCTGGAAAGCTACTGGGTATTGAGGTTTTCGTTTCAACCCTGCAGTAACTCGACTGATTCAAATAATCAAGGTCCTGTATCTGGACCTTAATTGGCTGAATCAGGTATGTTACTGCAGGGCTGGAACGAAAGCCTGCACACCCAATAGCTCTCCAGTACCGGAGTTGGCAGGAGAACCCTGCTCTGCACCATATCCTTTAACAACATCTGTGTGTGTGTGTGTGTGTGAACGTGCGTGCTGCAGGTTTCAGGTGAAGTTCTTCTACCTCACTCAGCTGGCCTACTGGCTTCACGCCCTGCCTGAGCTCTACTTCCAGAAAGTACGCAAGGTCAGTGCTGAGGCTGTAAGAAACGGAGGAGTGATATCAGTGTGTGTGCTTGCTGGTGTGAAAACAAGTTACTAAAAGGAAATCTTAATTAAATCTGCCTTTAGTCTGAGTAAGGAAATTCTGTCACATCATATTCATCATAAAAAGGATTTTCCACCCAAATTTCAAAGGCATTTTCACCGAAATTACAAAATCACATATTGCTTCCTCACCTAGATCAGCTTTAATATTGCAGATAGATTGTGGCTTCCATCAATGTAATTGTCTGCATCATTTCCAATCCCCCATATATATTATATATATAAATAAAATATGCGCTGACCAACTGGCAAGTGTCTTCACTGACATTTTCAACATGTGTCTGACTGAGTCTGTAATACCATAATCCCTGTGCCCAAGAACACTAAGATAACCTGCCTAAATGACTACCGACCCGTAGCACTCACGTCGGTAGCCATGAAGTGCTTTGAAAGGCTGGTCATGGCTCACATCAACACCATTATCCCAGAAACCCTAGACCCACTCCAATTTGCGTACCGCCCCAACAGATCCACAGATGATGCAATCTCTATTGCACTCCACACTGCCCTTTCCCACCTGGACAAGAGGAACACCTATGTGAGAATGCTATTCATTTACTACAGCTCAGTGTTCAACACCATAGTGCCCTCAAAGCTCATCACTAAACTAAGGACCCTGGGACTAAAACACCTCCCTCTGCAACTGGATCCTGGACATCCTGATGGGCCGCACCCAGGTGGTAAGGGTAGGTAACAACACATCTGCCACGCAGATCCTCAACACGGGGGCCCCTCAGGGGTGCGTGCTCAGTCCCCACCTGTACTCCCTGTTCAACCATAATTGCATGGCCAGGAACGACTCCAACACCATCATTAAGTTTGCCGACGACACAACAGTGGTAGGCCTGATCACCGACAACGATGAGACAGCCTACAGGGAGGTCAGAGACCTGGCCGAGTGGTGCCAGGATAACAACCTCTCCCTCAACGTCAGCAAGACAAAGGAGATGATTGTGGACTACAGGGAAAAAAAGAGGACTTGGCACGCCCCCATTCTCATTGACGGGGCTGTAGTGGAAAAGGTTCCTTGGTGTCCACATCACCAACAAAATATAATTGTCCAAACACACCAAGACAGTCGTGAAGAGGGCACGACAAAGCCTATTCCCCCTCAGGAGACTGAAAAGATTTGGCATGGGTCCTCAGATCCTCAAAATGTTCTTTAGCTGCACCATCGAGAGCAATCTGACTGGTTGCATCACCGCCTGGTATGGCAACTGCTCGGGCCTCTGACCGCAAGGCACTACAGAGTGTAGTGCATACGGCCCAGTACATCACTGGGGCCAAGCTTCCTGCCATCCAGGACCAAATACCAGGCGGTGTCAGAGGAAGGCCCTAAAAATTATCGAAGACTCCAGCCACCCTAGTCATAGACTGTTCTCTCTGCTACCGCACGGCAAGCGGTACCGGAGCACCAAGTCTAGGTCCAAAAGGCTTCTTAACAGCTTCTACCCCCAAGCCATAAGACTCCTTAAAAGCTAATCATGGCTACCCGGACTATTTGCATTGCCCCCACACCCCACCCCATCCCCCTCTTTTACACTGCTGCTACTCTGTTTATTATTTATATATAGTCACTTTAACTCTACCCACATGTACATATTACCTCAATTACCTCGACTAACCGGTGCCCCGCATATTGACTCTGTACCGGTACCCCCTGTATATAGCCTCCCTACTGTTATTTTATTTTACCCTGTATATAGCCTCCCTACTGTTATTTTATTTTACTGCTGCTCTTTAATTATTTGCTATTTATTTTAATTTTTTACTTATCTATTTTTTACTTAACTGCATTGTTGGTTAAGGGCTTGTAAGTAAGCGTTTCACTGTAATGTCTACACCTGTTGTATTCGGCGCATGTGGCAATTACAATTTGATATATATATATATAGATATCTCAAATCGGTTAGGACATCTACTTTGTGCATGACACAAGTAATTTTTCCAACAATTGTTTACAGGCAGATTATTTCACTTATAATTCACTGTATCACAATTCCAGTGGATCAGAAGTTGACATACACTAAGTTGACTGTGCCTTTAAACAGCTTGGAAAATTCCAGAAAATGATGTCATGGCTTTAGAAGCTTCTTATAGGCTAATTGACATAATTTGAGTCAATTGGAGGTGTACCTGTGGATGTATTTCAAGGCCTACCTTCAAACTCAGTGCCTCTTTGCTTGACATCATGGGAAAATCAAAAGAAATCAGCCAAGACCCAAAATTGTAGACCTCCACAAGTCTGGTTCATCCTTGGGAGCAATTTCCAAACGCCTGAAGGTACCACGTTCATCTGTATAAACAATAATACGCAAGTATAAACACCATGGGACCACGCAGCCGTCATACCACTCAGGAAGGAGATGTGTTCTGTCTCCTAGAGATGAACGTATTTTGGTGCGAAAAGTGCAAATCAATCCCAGAACAACAGCAAAGGACCTTGTGAAGATGCTGTAGGAAATGGGTACAAAAATATCTATATCCACAGTAAACGAGTCCTATATCCTGAGTGGCCGCTCAGCAAAGAAGAAGCCACTGCTCCAAAACCGCTATAAAAAAGCCAGACTACGGTTTGCAACTGCACATGGGGACAAATATCGTACTTTTTGGAGAAAGGTCCTCTAGTCTGAAACAAAAATAGAACTCTTCGGCCATAATGACCATCGTTATGTTTGGAGGAAAAAGAGGGTGGCTTGCAAGCCGAAGAACACTATCCCTAACCGTGAAGCACGGGGGTGGCAGCATCATGCTGTGGGGGTCTGGTGCACTTCACAAAATAGATGGCATCATGAGGAAGGAAAATGATGTGGATATGTTGAAGCAACATCTCAAGACATCAGTCAGGAAGTTAAAGCTTGGTCGCAAATGGGTCTTCCAAATGGACAATAACCCCAAGCATACTTCCAAAGTTGTGGCAAAATGGCTTAAGGACAACAAAGTCAAGGTATTGGAGTGGCCATCACAAAGCCCTGACCTCAATCCTATAGAAAATGTGTGGGCAGAAATGAAAAAGCGTGTGCGAGCAAGGAGGCCTACAAACCTGACTCAGTTACACCAGCTCTGTCAGGAGGAATGGGCCAAAATTCACCCAACTTATTGTGGGAAGCTTGTGGAAGGCTACCCAAAACGTTTGACCCAAGTTAAACAATTTTAAACGCAATGCTACCAAATACTAATTGAGTGTATGTAAACATCTGACCCACTTGGAATGTGATGAAAGAAATAAAAGCTGAAATAAATCATTCTCTCTACTATTATTCTGACATTTCACATTCTTAAAATAAAGTGGTGATCCTAACTGACCTAAGACAGGGAATTTTTACTAGGATTAAATGTCTGGAATTGTGAAAAACTGAGTTTAAAAGTATTTGGCTAAGGTGTATGTAAACTTCCGACTTCAACTGTGTGTGTGTGTGTGTGTGTATGTTTATTTTCCCCTAACCTTACCACCTCTCCCCTAAATGGAGTAAACTAATAGACCCCAACACTTAGGCTTCTACTTCCAGTTTATACAGTGGGGGGAAAAAAGTATTTAGTCAGCCACCAATTGTGCATGTTCTCCCACTTAAAAAGATGAGAGGCCTGTAATTTTCATCATAGGTGCACGTCAACTATGACAGACAAATTGAGGAAAAAAAATCCAGAAATTCACATTGTAGGATTTTTAATGAATTTATTTGCAAATGATGGTGGAAAATAAGTATTTGGTCACCTACAAACAAGCAAGATTTCTGGCTCTCACAGACCTGTAACTTCTTCTTTAAGAGGCTCCTCTGTCCTCCACTCGTTACCTGTATTAATGGCACCTGTTTGAACTTGTTATCAGTATAAAAGACCCCTGTCCACAACCTCAAACAGTCACACTCCAAACTCCACTATGGCCAAGACCAAATAGCTGTCAAAGGACACCAGAAACAAAATTGTAGACCTGCACCAGGCTGGGAAGACTGAATCTGCAATAGGTAAGCAGCTTGGATTGAAGAAATCAACTGTGGGAGCAATTATTAGGAAATGGTAGACATACAAGACCACTGATAATCTCCCTCGATCTGGGGCTCCACGCAAGATCTCACCCCGTGGGGTCAAAATGATCACAAGAACGGTGAGCAAAAATCCCAGAACCACACGGGGGGACCTAGTGAATGACCTGCAGAGAGCTGGGACCAAAGTAACAAAGCCTACCGTCAGTAACACACTACGCCGCCAGGGACTCAAATCCTGCAGTGCCAGACATGTCCCCCTGCTTAAGCCAGTACATGTCCAGGCCCGTCTGAAGTTTGCTAGAGTGCATTTGGATGATCCAGAAGAGGATTGGGAGAATGTCATATGGTCAGATGAAACCAAAATATAACTTTTTGGTAAAAACTCAACTCGTCGTGTTTGGAGGACAAAGAATGCTGAGTTGCATCCAAAGAACACCATACCTACTGTGAAGCATGGGGGTGGAAACATCATGCTTTGGGGCTGTTTTTCTGCAAAGGGACCAGGACGACTGATCCGTGTAAAGGAAAGAATGAATGGGGCCATGTATCGTGAGATTTTGAGTGAAAACCTCCTTCCATCAGCAAGGGCATTGAAGATGAAACGTGGCTGGGTCTTTCAGCATGACAATGATCCCAAACACACCGCCCGGGCAACGAAGGAGTGGCTTCGTAAGAAGCATTTCAAGGTCCTGGAGTGGCCTAGCCAGTCTCCAGATCTCAACCCCATAGAAAATCTTTGGAGGGAGTTGAAAGTCCGTGTTGCCCAGCGACAGCCCCAAAACATCACTGCTCTAGAGGAGCTCTGCATGGAGGAATGGGCCAAAATACCAGCAACAGTGTGTGAAAACCTTGTGAAGACTTACAGAAAACGTTTGACCTGTGTCATTGCCAACAAAGGGTATATAACAAAGTATTGAGAACCTTTTGTTAATGA